TGTGTCCAACTACAACTAAAAAATAAATATTTTTTTAAAAAAGATGATGTCAGAGGTCAGACAGAACAAGATTTTTAAAAAAAGATTCCAATTAAAAATAGTCCCAAGAATGTATTCCCTATTAAAAATAGTCCCAAGAATGTATTCCCTATGATAATAGGGAATACATTCTTGGGACTATTTGACTTTGAGCAAAAGTCAAATAAGTACATCTTTAGAGGGTTAAATGAATAATACCACTGATATAAGAATTAATAGATGTCATTTGAATATCTCTCTGCATCCCCTTCCCACTACTCTTCCCCATCTCTAATGACCACTCTTCCATTATGTTAGTCTACAAATTTGACTTAATGTTTTTTTTACAAACAAGAACATGTATTTTCATGTATTTTTCTTTCTGTGTCTAACCTGTTTCATTTACCAAAATGATTTCCGGTTCCATCCATGTTGCTGCAAATGACATGATTTCATTATTTTTATGGCTGAGTAGTATTCCATCCTATAAATATACCACATTTGCTTTATCCATCCACCCATTCAATAGTATCTGGGTTGATTTCATATTTTGGCTATTGCAAATAGTGCTTCAATAAACATGTGCAAGTATCTTTTTGGTTAAAAGATTAAATTTCTTATAGGTATATAGCTAGTAATGGAATTGCCAAATCACATAGCAGATTTATTTTTGGTTTTCTGAGGATTCACCTCACTGTTTTCTGTGATGGCTATCCCAGTTTCATAAGGGGCACCAGAAAACACAGTGTGGAATCATCACTGCTAGGTGTTCCTTAGAACAATAGCATAACTATAGGGCAAAACAACCTATAATATATTTCAAAAGGACTAGAAGAGTATGAAATTCCCAACACATAAAAATTATTAATGGTTAAATAAATAGAAATGTTTATTAGCCAGATTTGATTGTATACTTGCATTAAAATACCATACTGTACCCCTTTAATATGTATGAATAAAAATAAGTAAATGTGAAAATAAAAATATCAATAAATACAAATAAAAATTAAAAATAAGAAGAATTAATGGGGAATCAGGAAAATATAGATTAAAATGAAATACAGACTTTAAAAATTCCCCTCTGTGGGCTTTTAAAAATTATAATTTAGTGACAATATTTAATTAAAAATATCTCTGATAAATAATAAATCAGTCTTTATCAACATGCCATTCACTTTTCAGTATATGATTTTTTTAAAAATATTTGTTTGTTTTAGTTGTCAATAGACCTTTATTTTATTTATTTATATGTGGTGCTGAGAATTGAACCCACAGCCTCACACATTCTAGGTAAGTGCTCTACCACTGAGCCATAACCCCTGCCCTCAGTATATGATTTGACACAACAGTTTAAATAGACTAGACACTCAGAATAATATACTTTTAGTTTTAAATAAACAACTTATGTCATCTAAAAAAGATCCTATACTACAAATAGTAAACCACTATCCTTTTATCCTATACTGAAGTTGTAAGAATTACTTTATCACATAAAAATAAATCATTAGCTTATAAGAAATACTTGAATCTGATATGTCAAATAAAGCTTAGAAGAATTTTAACTATATATAGCAATATTAAAAATCATATGCTGATGAGAATGTGGAGAAACTTATTGTTTAGTATAGTGCAACATTAAGCAGAAGATTTTAGAGGAAACAAATATATTGTCAGGAAGTAAGAAAAACTTGAGGGACTTTTGACTTGATGGCATATATTTGCATATATTTTAAGTCCCCACTGAGATAGTAATCATGCTGTCTGAGATGCATCCAAGCCTGAATTGGCAGCCTGGGTTCCTGCTCTAAGCACAAGTCATGCTTCTACATATCCCACATAACTGATCATGGCAATCATTTAAAATTCGGTTTCCTCACTAGATAAAGTTGTAAAAGTTCCTACCCATACACAACTTTTCAGGGTCTGTACAGACTTGATTTGGGTTAATATCATGTATTTCCAATTTTTTTTTCAGGAACTCTGTCTGCATTTTGATTCCTGGCTGATGCAAATGATTGTTGCAATGAAAATGATGTATCTGTATCATGCACTCTTCTCCCAATATTTGTCTTTGTCTTTGGAAGGCTAACCCAAGAAAACCCACTTTAATTTTCTAATCTCAGATAGTACCTGAATATATGGTAATTAGTAATAGTGAAGCCACTAACTAGTATATCCTCTTTTGGAGTCAAACACCACCAATTACTATAATGATTTAGCTTCATCACGCTGTATCCTTAGCTGATTGGCACATATTTGTTTTTGTTAGGCAAATATCCCGAAGTCTTAACTTTGTTGTTGTTGTTGTTGTTTTGGGGTACAGGGGATTGAACTCAGGGGTATTCGACAACTGAGCCACATCCCCAACCCTATTTTGTGTTTTATTTAGAGACAGGGTCTCATTGAGTTGCTTAGTACCTCACTTTTGCTGAGGCTGGCTTTGAACTCACAACCCTCCTGCCTTAGCCTCCAGAGCCACTGGGATTACCAGCGTGTGCCACTGAGCCCAGGCACAAATATCCTGAAATCTTGATTCATCTTCTCAAACCTCAAGACTTCCCCAATACTCTCTCTTATCGTCTGTATTGGACAAATTGTTTCCCTGGCACTAAACATAGCACATAGTATAAAGTACATGGCTAAGTATGTGTTAATGTTGTATTATAACACTTAGCATTAATTTGCATCCTGGGATTTTTTCATATGGGCAGAATAGGAACAATTCTTTCTTATTCTTACAAGGAAATAGTAGAGTGGTAAAGCCCAGCAAATCAAGGTCTGATACAATATTGGAGCTCTTGGGATAAGACTTAAGTATGCCCTGGTATTGAGAGGTTCTTGAGTGATTTCAAAATGACATCTTTTAACATTTCCAAATGAATAATGCATATCTCAATTTACAAGCTTTGTTGGGCAGCAGGAAGAAGGGAAATGAGCACTGGATGAGGTGTCAAGAGACCTAGATTCTAACTTTTTCTCTGGCAAAGACTCACAGAGGTACTTGGCCTAGTCACTTCAAAAGCTAAGCCTCGGTTTTTCCAATGGTATGATGTAAACTGGCAATCTCTTTCACTTTTCAAAGCACAAAAGAATCTCAGATATTTGCCATTGTTACAGTGAATGACAGGATTAGAATTTTGTGTTTGATACGTTTTTATTCTTTCACTGGGTATCTGAGACAGCTTCTTGAGAGATCAGCCCTAAGAAGGTTTGGAGCAGGTCATTTTGATGCGTAAGAGTAATGGTACCATCTGTGGCCCCTTCTCTCAGGCTCAGGTGGGGGGGTCAAGAAATGGAATTAAATTCCATTTCTGGTTTGGGGTATCTGACAAAAGTATCTATGAGAGGAAGACAGAAGGCATGCTTCTTTCTCCTGTCCATTTTACTAAGTACAAAGAGGAATAATCAAGTTCATCTATTCCTAACGGTCTTCAGGTGAAAGCCTATGAGCTGTTTTCAGCAACATCCCATTTTGTGTTTGCTTACTTTTATAATAGTCAGTACCATAATGCCCTGGCCCCAAATGAGTAGATATACTAGACATATTTCCCACAGAAATATTACTACAAATACATTGTAAGGCATATCTGTACATGTGTTCATAAGTACAAAGCTCATATTTTGCAATTAAACTTTTTCCCCTCTTGGACACAAAGTTCATGGAGGATGGATTTTATGTGATTCAAATATTTGCCAGTGTTACTCAAGGAATCTTCCCCTGTGCTAATGAAGTTGAAGTTCATCAATAAGATTGATACTATTGCCTATATACCAGAGATTTAAAGCAGCTAGAGGAAAGAAATACTTTTTGCTGAATGACCCAAGCTCTGCCAAAATAGTTAGTTCTACTTATTTAGTCAAATTATAACTTTGTCTTTCCTGGAATATTAGAGCAATATAAAAGTAAACTCCACACACATCATTGTTGACAGCAAAGGAGCAGGAAACTTACTTGAGTTTTAATCTTTATTTATGTTATATCCCTCCCTATTCCTCCCCTTATCTCAAATGGAGATCAATTTTTCCTCTATTTTTATCTCTGGATGTAGCTCCTAATAATTATATGTCATTGATAGCCTTATATTTACTATAAAGTGAGAAGGCATCTTTCTAAATGTTTTCTCTTTGTATCCAATCAATAATCAAAATGCAAATCATAAAACAACTTAACTTACATTTTGTCAAAAATATGTTCAGTCAGTTATGAATATCTGAAATGAAAATTTAATCCAAAATAATTTTTAGTGTACTGATTACTTACTCTGATAATATGGTTTATCTATGAGAAACAGCAACTGTGTCTGTTGTCTTTCTTATTTCCCCTCTGTCATTATAAACATGTTTTTTTTTCTTACTGCCTTCTTTGAAAGCAGAATGGCCACAGCTACCATTAATTACAAAAATCCACTTTTATAGTGAAAATATGTAATTTATACAAGCCCAGAGGATGATTCATTCATATTGCTGAAGGTCCTGAAATATTCTAGTTCTCATTTTTAAAATCATAGCTCATTTTAAAAAGGAAACAAAGTTAACCATTTTAATTATTTGGTTGATTAAAAAAATCATCCCCCAAATGTTATAGCAAAAATCAAATAAAAATCACTAAAAATCACCCTGAATGTTGATGCAAGAAACTTTTCTTAGTATTGAATAGGTTAAATTACAAATGTTCACAGGGCTATTTATTTAATATAAATTGAGCTAAACACATTGTGAAAAATTTCTCCATGCCAAATTTACATTTCCCCAAGTTCAAAATTATCTCCCCCCTCCCACTGCAGGAATTCAACCATAAAATTATTTTTATTTGTGAATATACCAAGGAAATGACATGTAAGGATGGTCCAGGCTCATTTTATCCATAACTACCCTCAGATTTCACAGGTTATCCAGAACCTGCTGTGGAGAGTCCAATTCTAGATATCAAGAGTGAAAGGCACAGATGAAAGCTAATTATGCATTAAAAATTTGGATCCTACCGTTTCAGTTTCTTTCTCTTTCCTCCAGAGATCTCCAAAGAATTCATGCGACAGCCACTTCAATAAGGATGCCAGTGATCTTTGCATCAATTCTCCCTGTTCTGAGAACAATCAATCCAATCCTCCTTTACCATCAAAAAAATCAGGAAAGAAAAAGAAAAGGATGAAAGTAAGAAAGAAAAATGAAAGAAAGAAGGGAGGAGGGAAGAAAAATGAGTAAAAAAGGGAAAAGAAATCCAAAAGAAAAATGATGAAGGCAAAAGAAAAACAAAGAAATAAAATTCTCAGGATTACCTAACCACTACCATGTTGAAAAACATGGTACTGAGATGTCAGAGTGAAATATGCAAGCTACTCTGTGCACACTGAACATTTCCGTTTTCCAGGGGGCAGCGTGCTCACTCGCTCGCTCTCTCTCTCTGATTAATGATGCAGGGCTACGCTACAGGCTGTACATAGAGCCTGCAAAGCTTCACACTTAGCAGAAGAAACCCTCCTTTCTATTTATAGGGCCATAATGCATTGTCTTCCAATTCTGTGGTTGCACTCAGCATTGAGTTTGTGATAACACACAGACTATTTGTTTATGGAGCCCTTTGGGGAAGCTAGGTGCCCTCTGGTCCCTTCCATAGACCACTGCAATATTCAGTATGATCCTTTATCATAGCTTCTCAGTTATGTTCCAATACCAAATAGGATATTTCTCTATCTAAGGATGTCCCCTAGGTCTTTCCCATTAGAAGAGGGCAGGGTGGGGATTACCTCTGTCTAAGGCATTTGTGCAAATGTTTGAAAGGAGCATCCTGACAATGAAATGAATATCCCACTTCTTAAGAGGAATTTGGAACTATAACCCACCTTTCATTTCCTGTCCACCCACTCTTTGTTGTACTCAGGATCTCTATGATCAGGAAGTGCATGTAAGCCCCCATTTCCTCCCAGTGGTTAGGGAGGATTGGGTGAACAGCAACTAGGTTCCTGTAACCCAGACCCTAGCCTCAAGCTCTTGTAGATTGTGTCCCAAGGAACCCCTAAGCCCAGAAGGCCCAGAGCCCAGTGCCATGCTATATCAGACACTTTACACCCATCAGCCCCATCCACCACAAGGGGGATAAACAGAAGGTAATCCCTAGGATTGGAGTATTACCTCCAGATCAGAACAAGGGAACTTTCATATAGGTCATGGGAGAAATAAGTATTTTAGTACAGGTCCAACCTCGTGAGTTCAGAAATGTGTGGTATATTATAGTGAGTACTGGGAGGGGCCTATGCCTCAAAATATCTCTTGATTTTGTTTGAGGCACCAGTGATTTTGATTATAAAATCCTGACATTTCTAGAAATGCACTTATTCAAAAACCTTTGAAGTTTTGTCAGTTATAGAAAGAGTGGATAATGAGAATGGGATATAAAGAAAACTGAATTGCAAAAAAGCAAGCTTTAATGATTTTGTCCTAGGCTAGCGAGAGAGTGAAATGTTCTGACACAAGTGAAGAAAAGTATAAAGAGACACAGGGTAAATTAATCTAAATTTGCATTAGGTCAGTTTGTTGACAATAGATTAGATTATATTACACCTATTTTGTCATTTTATTCCATACTCTAGGGCCTGGATAATACTTTATTTAAGTTTTTCTACTTTGCTTTTTGGTATATCTATAGTTTATTGTGATACTGTCTCCTCTCAAATAGCCTTAGCAACACTCATCAAACATCTTTTGAATACCTGCTAAATGCAGATCAATGGATCAAATACAGCCAGGGAGGGGAGAATGGGGGACAAAGAATGGGAGGGGACTGATAAGAAAGGAAAGGGTGCCATCTTGTTAAGCTTTTTAGAATACAGTTAAGCAGATAATATATTGTGCAATTTTCTCAAATACAAGGCAATGTATATGTGACAAGAGCCTTAAAACATCATACCTAGTGCTGTGAGCTTTCAAAAAGCAAGTCAGGGCTCCTGCAGAACTAGAGTTAAGGGATAGAATTTCAGTATGGAAGTCAGGCAAGTCTTCCAGTAGGAGCCGGGTTTGGGCTGGACCTAGTAAGAATGGCAGGATTAATAAAGAAAGAATAAAAAAAGATATTTGGGTTGCTTAAAATTCATAAACCTTGTTACTTCATACCAACTTACCTCTTAGTATCCTCATTTTCCTCCTGCCTGCTCTAACTAAATAAGCTTTGAGTGCACACATATTGGTCTTCTCAAGTAGAACATGTCTTTTGAATTCTCAGCCCATTATATCAGATAGAACTCATAGAAGCCAATTTTCATGGATTTTGAAATAAAACTCCAGTGGTGAAATTCCTGAGCTAGAGTACACTTATCTTTCCTATTTAGGTGAAAGAATTTTTGACTGATTAGAAGGAAAGAAATGACCCTATAATAACCTCTTAAATTTCACTCCAAATTGATCAAATACTACCCTATAAGAACTGAGAGATGGTTTAGTCTAAACTCACATTTTAAAGATGAAGAAAGTGGGAAAGAAACAACACAGTTCAAGTATCATGAATGAGTTAATGATAAAACTGAAGACTAAACTCAGTTTTCTGACTCTTAAACAATATCCTCACCAAAGTCATTTCCATCTGGCCAATGCCTTATGGAATCTATGAAAGGGGTGATTTAATTGCAGCTGTATTATCTGTGGCAAACTCTTGTCTTTCTTAGTTACAGAGGAAATGTCAAATAACAAATGGATTCAAAAACTGAGCTCTGTGAGTTTGCCTCTATATATAAAAGGGAAGACATTTTGACTCACTTAGATCTACTTAGAGAATAAAAATGTCAAGCCCCACTCAAATTAAGAATAGATAAAGATCTTTCTTTTATCGTTTCTCTATAGCGAAATTCTGAAATGTACAATATTTTAAAGTGAAAATAAAGGAGAAGTTTGAGCTTTTATTATTGGCTCGAAGATAAATTTTTCTTATTAATAAATGTTTCATTATCACCTAATATTTACCTCATGATTGTAAAGTTACTAAATTTCAACTTAGCTTATTTGTCATCCTTCACATGGAATAGTACACTGTGCAGTATAGATCATGATTAATGTAAATTCCTACACATATTCATACCATCAGGCCTGTAATTTAAAATATCAGGGAGGGATTCTCCCATTCCAAGAATTTTAAATATTTTAAACATTTTTTGGTTAAAAAATCTGGTCATGATTTTATTTGTTTAGCAACTCAGCAATATGCCAAGTGCTGTATGTTTTGCCATGCAAGTGAACAGAATTGACGAATCATCAACAACAAAACATGAGAGTACTGTGATTAACAGATTAAAATAAATCTTTAAAAATCAGTTATACAAATTATATTGGGGAGTTACCAATTAATGTACTCATTATATTAATTCCTTGTTTATGTAAAATACTTTTTTCGTATATGTGGAAGGAAATGTATTTTACAGACTAAGTTTGGCCACATGCCAGGGACTGTACTAAGTATTTTACATTCATTGTTTGTTCCTTTATCAAAACAACCTGTATTTTAGGTACTCTTTTGTCCCCATTGTATAGCTGAAAAAGCAGGCCTAGAAATGTTAGGTAACTTTCCCCAAACTAGGCAGTTTGATAGTCAAGAAACACTGAATATTGATTTGGAATATTGAAATAAAGGAGATTTCAAGCCAAAGAATATCACTGCTGATCCTGAGGCTATAGTAGAACCTAGTAAAGCACAATACTGCAACTAAATTCCATTAGTAATTATAAATTAATGAAAAATAAAGAAGAAATTGATAAATATAGACTCAAGAGATGCACAGGGCTTGGAGAAAAATCACCAGTCTTGAGATAATGAAGTTATGTTGGCATCAGGGAGTTCTCATATTTAGGAAACTACTGTGTAGTCCTAAATGGACTGCAAAATATTTCTCAAACAGGTACACCTGCTCACCACCATTCTTCCATGTCCAAGTTTTCAGTTCTGCTGATACCTATATGTTTTATATTTTCTTGGTGGAGACTCACTGAATTAATTATGGAAGATAGTGGGGAAAAAAAGAGTTAACCTCACAGAAAGAAATTGGAGATTTGTATGAAGAGTTGTTTCTATCACAGACAAATGGCTTAATGGCCAAATTCAAGATGCCAGTTTATTCAAGACCATTCTCATCTGCAAAGGCAATGAAGTAAAATTTAATTTGGTAACTGAATTTAATTTTTTATCCAGAAAATAACAAAAAAAGATAAATGGTCTAGAACACAGTGTTCAAAATAAGAAGTAATGATGTCATTATGTATTAGGGCATGAAAAGAACCCAATTTGTTATTCAAAAAATGTGCAGAGAGTATTATATTAAAAATCACAGTTTAAGCTTAGCAAATAGGTACTGCATTTCCCAATCAAAAATAATGCTCAAGGAAATACAGAAAACAGATGTTTGAATCTACATGCTCAGAACAGTATATGATACAGAACAGGCTATATTGTTATTGATTTTAAATGTTTATAATTAACTATAAGCAGTTAGAGAGTATGTATGTACATTAGATGACAGAGGATTCAGCTGGAGCCCACAAAAGTCACTTTATATAACCTTTTCTCATGTATGTACATATGGACAAGGTCCTAAAGAGAAAGTAACACCCTTATCCACAGACATTTCACATAATACAATACTCAGTGCAAGTTGTCATATACACATCCCCAAAAGTCCTCTCATATACCTACCATCAGTTGGAAATGCCAGTATTGCAGGTGTATTCCTTTGGCTCTTCTCCTTCTGTACTCATTTCATACAAACAAACTCTAAATGTATAGCCTCAAATTCCTTATATAGTGTGAACATATAAGGTAAATCATATATCAGGTATATCAACAGAGACACTGAAAGTTTTAGGAAAATTAATAGGAAAGGAATGCTGAAAAGGGATGAAATGTGTTATGGGTAAGTAATCATCATGCAATTCTGCCTTGGGCCAAACCTGCTAAACATATCACAGATTCATGGAGTGCTGGAAGTAAAAGTATCTTAGAAATCTTCCTGGGCATGAGTCTTTGCTGGTGGGCTATAAATTTATTTCAGCAGGTCATTGAATTTCTGAAAGCATTTATGAAATTGTGTGTATTCACGTATATTTTACTTGCGAGAAGATTTATAATTTTAATCAGATTATTAATGGGTTTAAAGACCAAAAATGTTAGGAACTGCAGGACTAACAACCATTGCCACCATGGAGTGCCTGCTACCAGGAAGTGCAACCTGGCAGGAAGAGCCCAGCAGTGAAGGTTTTCAGATAGTAATCCCCCAAATGGTTACAAACGGCTGATCTATCTGACTTCCTCATTTTACAAGTGATGAAATTGAAGTTCCGAGAGCTACAAATCTTGTCCAATATGGCATAGTTAATCAAGGTGAGCTCAGTAGATATTATTTTGAGTGAT